AGCCCTGGCAGTAATAAGGCACTCCTCCCTTTCCACTTATGTTGGTCACTGAATGTCTAGTTGAGACTCATGACTTTCATGATCAGTGGTAATTAGGCTGACCCCCCACAGTGTCAGTAAAGACAGATCATCTGGAGAATCAGAACTTACACCACCCACCAACCACCCTCCTGCCCCTCTAGTGTCAAAACACATAGAATATGGGCTGCTTCTCCCATCTGGCAGTAATAAACGCTTCTCTTTCTCTTGCTGCACGGACCTCCACCCCCAGTCCAATACCTAAGTGGGGTCATAGAAAAATATGTAAAGATAGATTAAAGAAGATTCAGAATCTCTTAATACAATCCAAAAATGACCAGATTTCAATAAAAATATATCAAGAGCAAGGAAGACCTTAAATTTTAAAAAGACAATCAACAGATATTAACACTAAACTGACAGAGATGCTCAAATTATCTGACAAATATTTTAAAGCAGCCATCATAAAACTGCTTCGGGGAACAATTTCAATCACAACCGAAACATTCAAGATCAAAAAGACTCCATAAAAATACAGAAAATACAAAGAAAAATCAAATGGAAATTTTAGAACTGAAAAACAGAATAACCAAATAAAAGCTAAGCAGAAGGAGTCAGCAGCAGCACTGACAGAAACTAGGAAAATGCCATCCAAACAATGCAGAGAAAATAGAGAAAATCCAAACAGCTTCACGGACTTGTGAGACTGTAACAAAAGAGCTAACATCTACATGATTATCAGACTCACAGAAGGAGGAGAAAGGCCAATATAGTACTTTGAGAGAAATAACTGCTGAAAACTCCCCAAATCTAGAAGAGGGTATAAATTTATAGATTTTAAAAATTAAGGAACACCAAACAAGATAATCCAAAGAAATTCATGCCAAGACACATCAGACTTTTGACAACTCAAGATAAGAAATCCTGAAACCAGGGGAGATTTTTCCTATAAGGAGAATCAGTTCAAATGATAGTGGTTTTGAAGCCCGAGAGGCCAGAAGAAAAGTAGACTACTTTTCAAAAGATAAAATAGCAGCACTGTTAATCCAGAATCCTATTGCCTAAGAAAATACCTTTCAAGAATTAAAAATCAAGACAGTCTCGGAAACTCACACCAAACAGATGGTCAAAGAACTTCTCTAACTGCAAAAGAGGGATAAAAATGAAACTTGGAACATTAGAAAGGAAGAACAAACAGAATAAGCAAAAATATGGGCAAATACAATGAGCTTATTCTCTTAAATTTTTAAAACATAAAAGGATTGAAATAAAAATTAAAATACTAGTATTGTTGCAGCAAAACTAAGTCTGGGAATTAATCAAATTAATTACCTAGATCCAACTACCAATTTACAGGTAAACCTACTAAATAATGCCAAGGAAAAGTAATCATCCAGCCTTCAAACACCTCTGCAGAATAAATGACTTGATTATTTCCATAAGCAAACACACAAATACAGAAAAAGAAGGAAAGAGGACAACTATAAAAGAAATTCAAGAAAAGACATTTTAAAAAGGGAAAACTACAGTTTTATTACTTGGATAACAAAACCAGACAGAAAAGGAAGTGATTGCTATAAAAATTCAGAAAATGGCTACTCTTGACAGAGAGGGTTTGGCCTTGGATCCAACACATATTCTTCAATTTGGTTTCACTAGTAACTAAACTATTATCTTAAATCCTAGTTTATTCCTGTCCTTCCACTTCTCAATTGGTACACAACCTAAAAAGAAAGTGTATATAGTGAGAATCACCAAGCCACAACATCAACCAGAAAATATAAAAGACTGGATGGGTCACTGAAGAAGAGATCAAATGAAACAGAACAATAAAACCAAACACACTGCATAACACAAACTTCTGTCCTTTTGCTAATTCAACAAGATAGCTAGAGTTGGAGAAATCCCAGTTCATACTGGTTGAGACTCAGCTGTCTTGTCATCTCATCATGGAAGAAAAGCCACAAAAATAATATGATCCCAATAGTTTTGAAATAAATTTTAAAATTCAGCCATAAATTATAGTCTTCTTATAATAAATGTAGCAACATAAAATCTTTAAGTACATTTAAAATTATATAAACCTACCTGGTTCAAAAAAGAAAAATGAAGCAGCGTACAAATATTAACAAAAGTTATATAAAATTTAAATCCCCTAGTCTTTTATTACAGCATGGTAATTTCTTGCCCTGATGTATTTATTTTTAAAAACATTTTTGCCCTATTTTTGATACCATAATTTGTGATAACTGCAACTTATCTATTTAAGTTTTTAATTTTTGGGGTGGTGCTAAGGAGCACTCTACTACTAAGCTACACCCCTAGCCTGCTGATCTGTTTTCACCTGCCTTCCACCCATAGCCAAAGAAGTACAATACTAAAAAAATCCATAAGTCTCAATTCATATATACTTTGTATGATGATCAAGTCAGTAATTAGCATATCTATTACCCTCATACATTTATCATTTCTTTCTTGGTAACAATATTAAAAAAGACCTTGCTAGTTATCTTGAAATATACAGTACATTATTAACCAGTCACCCATTGTGCAACACAACACCAGAACTTACTCTTCCTAGCCTTTTAATTTTGTACCCACTAGCAAATCTCATATTCTTCCACTTCCTAATAGTGCCCTCTGCTCACTACTAGTTTATACTGTATTTCTATGAGATCAACTTTTGCAGAAGCCACATATTTTTGTTTATTTGTTTGAGAGAGGGTCTCACTATGCAGTTCAGGCTGGCCGTGAACTGACTACATAGCCCAGGTTGGCCTTAAACTCATGGTAATCCTCCTGCCTCATCCTCCCCAGTGCTCAGACTGCAGGTGTGTGCCACAAGAAGCCACACACTGCATTTGTCCCTATGTGTCTGGCTCACTGTGCTTTACATAACATCCTCCATGTCCAACAACACTGTCACAAATGACAGTGTTTCACAACCACTCCTGAGCCCCTGGTACTGAACTGAGGGCATTTCCACCAAGCTATATTCCCAGCCCCTTTTTTACTTTTTATTTTGAGACAGGATCTTGCTAAGTCACTAAGTTTCCCAAGCTATGATCTTCCTGCCTCAGCCTCCCTAGGTGGATTTAATCTTTAAATGTCTGGATAGTATTTCGCGGTATATATCTGCCACATTTAAAAAAAGCTATCACTCCATTGTTGGACATCTAAGTTAACGCCAACTCTCAGCTATTGTGAATAGTGCTGCAATGCAGGATCCTAAATAAACTCTTTTTCAGTTTTTATTTCTTTTACCTATTTATCTCTATTTTTTCTATGTGACACATATATACTTTTGGTTTGAATCATCACTTTTGGACTTTTACAGTTTATCAATTTTTTTACAGATTAAATAAGATCTAATCTTCTTGTCCCTTACTTCTTTCTACTTCTTGTCCTTACTACCAATATAGCTATAATGTAATTGTTAAAACTGATCAGTTTATGTTATGATTATGAAAATACTGTTTACTGCAAAGCCAAAAACTTTACTGTAATAGTTCCTTTTTTGATAATAAGGATCCTTTTCTATAAAGACCCCAATAAGTCATTTCCTTCTTCATCAAAAGAACAAAAGAATCTATCAAAAGGATCAAAAAAACTATCAAAAGAATCAAAAAGAATCTATGCAGTCTATTTTGCTGACTACAGCATCAGAAGATAAATGTATTTTTTTTCTTTTTGATACCGGGAATCAAACTCAGGACCTTGCACTTGCCAGGCAGGCACTTATGCCACCGAGCTATGTCCCTGGCCCAAGATATCTATATTGAAGGCCCATGGTCAACTTCTAATATTTAACAAATAAACATTCACACATCCTACATTTCTATTTGACTATTCTCTTTTATTCAGACTGTATTATCTAAAACTAATTCTTTATACTCAATCCACTAAATCATTGCTAAAACACTTAAAATAGTGTATTTGCCAAAATATCTGTAATAGTACTCTTACAACTATATACCTACACATGGTGGTAAGAGTTCTAGGCTGGGCATGGTGGCACATGCCTGTAATCCTAGCACGTGGGAGGCTAAGGCAGGAGGACTGCCTCAAGTCTGAGGCCAGCCTGAGGTACACAGTGAATTCAAGGCCAACCTGAACTGCATAGTGAGACCTGTCTCAAAAACAAACAAACACCAACCATATTAATCAAACCTTTTTCTTAACAAATCAAATCTCAAACTTCCTCTTCCTCAATAATTTGCCTTATACTCCTTATATATCTTTGTTATTTATTGAATTAGGAAGCTATCAGGAAACTCACATATCCTGGTACAGGAAATAGTTTTCCTCATAGCCTATATTTGTTTTAATTCATTCCTCTGTGACTTCTATCTATTCTTATTATTGCTATTCTATTCAATAAGACTGCTTTCTTAAAATTCTACTTCCTTCTACCTATCCATACATCTAATCTCTTGGAACCAATACTGTACAGTGTTAGTGTCTCACTTTCTTACATTTCTTCAGGAGTCAGATCCTACAAAAGCTCTGACTCTATAAACATTACAAACACATCAGCTGACCATAACTTGTGCTTTAACTTCAACCAGCTTTTAATGCAAAAGTGTTCCCATTTCATTTCACACATAAGTGAACTCAAAAATTCATGTCTAGGAGAAAAAAAAACCATTAACATACAGAATGTCTGACACTTGGTCCATTTTAAAGCACTTATTGATTCAACTCATATTAAATTAAAACAATGATCCTTAGTTTTAGGTTGGTTTAAAAAAATAAATTCTTTATTATGTACTCCTTTCAAAAGAGTAACCCAATACATACCTCTGCAGAAAATATGTTGCTCTTGCATTTACCCATATACCAGAGAATAAATCCACATTATCTTATTAAGAAAAAAGACTAACGTGTGCCTTACAGACATCACTGAATCAGTATACCAAGAGGCGTAAGATTTAACTACACCATTTGCTGAAATTTTAAACTTAGTAAGAGGTTGTAGTTACCTCTTTTTGTAGATGGAGTTTGAAGCAACTGTTTGGCTTTGAGGGAAGTACGAGGCAAATTTTTCAGCCTTTGCGAAGCTGTTGAAAAATAAGGAACTGTAATATTTGCCTGGAAGTACAAGATAAAGGCTATAGGTTCTGTACACTTGAATATTTTAATACAACTAAAATTTATCAAGAAGCAGATCCCATAAGGTGAAAATATGTTAGAATCCTAGAAGCAGAGGAATTTTAAAGTGATGCTTAGTGCATTTAATTGGAAAAGAAGGGGAATGGAAATAGTGCACAGTGCATATTTTAAGAACTAGTTTCTCTGAAGATGAAAACATTTCTAAAATATCAACTGGTTGAAATAGCAAAGAGAAAACAAACTACCAGCAAACATGCTACAGGATGCAAAGAATACAATACAAAGACACAATAAACACAAGCACACAGTACAGGAATAAAATAAATGCAGTACTGTTTAATGCAAAAAAGCGCATTTTGGCAAAGCAGTTATTGTTAGATGAACTGCCCTAAAATGAAACATTGATCCCCATACTCAAAAAGGAGAAGAAAACTCAGAACTAGGCAAGTTCTCAGGAAGTCATAATTTATTGGCTTTAATATGTTCAATATCGCTCTGCTATAGAGTCCAACTTTTCCTTGCCTCAGAGTTTGGGTGGCTCCATATCTGGACTGTGCACATATGTATGCACAGAGGGAGCTAGATGTATGTGCCTGTTCATGTATGCATATTCTATGAATTGAGGGGGTTCACATGAGTCACAGCATTTGCCTTTTACTGCGATCAATCAGGAATGCTGAACTTTCTTCCAAACATCTAGCAACTATACTGAAACTCCAAACTTGGCATGTAAGACACAGCCCAGGGCTGCCTAGTGTTAAAATGATTCCAATTATTTCAATTTATAGTTATTACAGCTCCAATTATCAGAGTCCCACACAAACCAGGGTAGTCATTTATTAAAGTGGCTCTAAAATGTCATTCCATTGATCGGAGAGTTAAGACTTTACATACTTCTAGGATTTATGTACAATGAAACAGAAAGAGAGATCCCACTCCTACAAGACTACCCTGGGCATAATCACTGGGATAATAAAGAGACATGTGATATATCATCAGAGAGAACAGAGGGAATAATGGCTGTTTCCTCTGTTGCTTAATTCTATCAAAGCTATCTCACAGCTAATAAACTTTTTAAAAGAAACGTATTTGACTTCCAATTTTACAGTGCTCCAAACACTATGCATAAATAATGTTTGATGCCAACTCAAATACTGTCAGGTAGATTACCAAAAAGTTTGTACCTTATACCTATACCATAAAATTATAGGATACAATCACTGTTGATACTTTTCTTCTACATATTTTTTCACACATTTCATTCCATTCATTCATATTTCCTTCCTTCTGTACATCCATCCACCCATCCCTGCTTTCATTTGTTTAATTAGCTGAGTATGTGCTAAATTCCAGGTACTGTTTTTGGTGCAATGGTTTTAGCAGCCAACTAGGTAGACACAGTCTTTACTCTTATTTCCTAATACTGTAGGAAAGCGGTCAAAGAAATAAAGTAGGAAAATATATGGTCTACCAGACAGTAACAGCTGCTAAGGATAAAAACTGCACTTGGTAAAGTCAAGGGATAAGAAATAGAAGATTTAAGTTGCAATGTGATCAGGAAAGATTTCCCTAAGATGACCTTTGCATAAAGATCTGAAGGAAAAGGGGGAGTAAGCCATGTAGATATCTAGAAAAGCATTCTTGATTGTGGAAAAAGCAATTGTAAAGAATACTAAGATTGGAGCACCTCTAGTATGTTTGAAGACCAGAAAACAGGCTTAGTTATAAATTGAAGGCAGAAGGAAACCAACTGAATATATGCTCACAATCTATAGAATCTATTAGCCAATACAAAAATTTAATGGAAAGATCTTACTTGAATAGTTATGGTAACCCCAACAGACTCTATTATCCCTCAGGTTTCATGGTGATATCATAACCATGGCATCTATAGACAAAGGAAAACTGTCCACTGGGAATTTAACTCAGTACATACAGAACCAGGGAAACTGGTCTAACAGAAATAGAATGAAATGAACGACTTGCAAAAAATGCCACACTGTCACATAACGTTAAACAAGAACAAAATAAAATTTTTATGTGAATTATCATTCTTATTCAGTTAGCTTCCTAAAGTTAAAATTATTTTTTAAACAACAAAGTACACCTAAGTGAAACTCTCCAAAGCTTTCTAAATTAATAGAATTTAATGTGTTCACTGTTTGAAAATGTTTATGGTTTAAAATTTGCCTTTTGTCTTTTACTATTTATGTAATTCCAAACTAGCAAGACCACCATGCGTGGCAAAGATACTACAGAAAAGCAATTACTCGTTGATGATGCTACCAGAATTTAGGTTAAAGTCTTGCTCCACAAAAAAGCCCCTCTAAAAACCTCTGTACTTCTGAGAAACATCTAGTATCATTTTCCAAATCATCTTAGCTCAAATTCTTCTTATTTTACATTCTAATTATTCACCTCTTGCAGTTTCTTACATCTATCCCTTCCTTACATTCCCACTGTCTCCTAAATACCTCAGACCATGGTCACTGTTTTGATTAGGACAATGTTCTTTAGGAGCTCCCTACATATGATCCTTTCCATTCCACTCATGTACCTCAAAGGAAGTCTAGTGAAACTGCTGACCCTACCAAGTGCAAGAAATAAGTGGGCATACTGTCTGTGGAAAATTTAGAAACAGTATCAAATCAGCTCCTTCTTTATTCTATTATAATGTTCCAGCAATAGTAAAGGTCAGAAAAAAAAAATACTTCCACAAGTTTACTGATCTGTCATAAGCAACAGCTGCAGTTACTACTGAGTGTGAACAATATCATGTAAGTTTTAAATTAGTACATTTTATCATCTGTCCCTTAATAAACATTGTATTTCATATGAAAATGAAGTAGGAGAACTCTCAGTAATAGTCTGGGTTCAGATGCACATTTCTTTCAAGAGTAATTTTCATAGTAGTTTGAAATAAGATTACTTTAGCAGAATGTGTGCCTCCCATGCTATGGTATGTATTAGTAAGTTTAGACTTATTAGAAATAAACAACGATGGTACAACACTTGTAAAGTCAATGAAAAGGAATGTGAGTTATCTTATTTCTGTCATTATATGTCACTTTGAGCTTGTGTTTAAAAATTTCCAACTGGGAAGGCATTTAAAATCCTGAGATTTGATCATCCTCAAGACAATAGCTTGGACAATATAGCAACTTTTAGAATTTTCTGTAAAAAATAGGATTTTCTGAACCTTGTAATTTATGCTTATGTTAAAGCTTTTCCATATTTGCACATTAGTTGCTTTGTGAGGGAAAAATACTTTCAAAATTACAAAGATGATGTTCTTTCGTCAAATATGACAAGATAAACTCATAAATCTGGCTAGTGTGTTGAACCTCAATATTCAAAGAACATAAAATTTGAAGAATTCTACCGACAGTTTTTCAGAAGCTAAGGTGATTTCCTCATTATGATAGATCAATATGTAAAAGTATTATTCCTAAGCTGGGTATGGTGCCACACACCTATAATCCCAGCACTTGGAAGGCTGAGGCAGGAGAATCACTGTGAGCTTGAGGGCAGTCTGACCTACAAAATGAGTTCAAGCCATCCTGAACTGCACAGCGAAACTCTGTCTCAAAAAGACCAAAAAAAAAAAAAAACTTAATTACAAAAAGATCAATGTAATTTAACATCCCATCATCTTTATTCTATTTGTACTGCAGTATTGATATTATTATATATTACTGACACAGTTAAAAATACAAAACTCAAAATATTTTCACTGTTGGCCTTTTTTCCTGGCCAGTATTTCTGTAACTCATTTTATTAATTATTATTATTATTAAACATAGTTTTGAAATATAGAAGAGATGTTAAAATATTCTGAGGTGCGCTAACTACAAAAGTATAAACACTAATACTAATTAATGTTAATTACTGCTAGATAAAACACCCCTGGTTTTCCTACTCACAATATTTTGTTTAAAACTTTTTATTGCTTACAATTCTTATTTAGTCATCTTTTGATACTTTGTCACTCACCATTAATTTTCTCAGTGTCATCAAATCATGTATCTTCCACTTATTTAAAAAAAAAAAAATCACATTTTAACACCCTGCTACCACTGCCTTTTTTCAAATCTTTACTTCTTGCCTAGATTATGCAATAACCTTTTGAATGATTTTAATGTCTCTTCATTTTAGGTCACTCTCCATAGTACCATCAGAATAAATCTTCTAAAAAGGAATCTTGATTAAAAGCCCATCATGGTTCCTAATACCTACAGGCTGAAAATTCAAATTCCTTAGTATGCTACTAAAAACTGCTTATTTATCCCCTACTTACACTACTCACTCCCTTATGACTGCGCCTATTTCTCATCCCGTTTTGTACTGTCAACTTCAGTCATCAGGCTGCCACTCTCAAGACTCTTAATTGATGCCCTTGTTGGGAATATATCTAAATATCCTTTCTTCATTTGGCAATGCACATAAGCTCCCCCTGAGCCAGCTGAGATATCTTCTATCTTTCCTGAAAACCCTTTACACTATTAAGTACCTTTCCTATAATCCTAAGGAAGTTCCTGCCTATCAGAAAGTACAGGCTGTCTTATATTTATATTAGCAATGTGGGGGCCATCACACACACACACATATTCTATTGAATAATTAAGTGACACATAAGTGACTGACCACTGGTCAAAATCTACAGAGCTAAACCAAGAACTCAAGGTCTTTCAAAGTCAAGGTCCAAACAGGTGGCTCTCAAACTTGGATATATCCCCCAAAACAACTGAGATACTTCTGAAAAGTGAGATTCTAGGTCTCCACCCCAGGCCTACTCAATCAAAATGTTCAGGGGTAAAGGCCAAAAACAATTATAAAGTCCCTTTATAATTACATTACTGGCCCACCATCACTGTACAACATATTCTTTAACTGACGTTGTATAACTATTTTATTCATTTTTAGTCTAATATAGTTAGTATATGTAACATGATTTCAATCAATGGTTCATAATTATGTAAAATTCATATGTAACCTCTTAATTTTTTGGTAGTCAGTGAAATCTAGAGAGAAATTCCTTCCTTCTAGACCTACAAATAGTCGGGCTATGCATAAGCTGAAAACCACTCCAGATACTCACCCCCTTCAGTGAGATCTAGAGTAGAATACTGATCCTATAAGCCTTTTCTCTGGGGTATTTAAGATTTAATCTCAAAACAAGTTCCAAAAAAGTCATCAGTGAACATTTCTCAAGATGCCTACTCATTTGCAATTAGCTTATTATGATGTAATGAACAAACTATAATGTATCCAAACAATGATGGATAGGAAATCACGGAGTTTCAGGGGAGGTTCGGGAGGAAGGAGTAAATTGGCCTTGGTTATGCCACTTTTCTACTTCTATAACTTTTTATAACTCACATGATTTGTATGGATCTCTGTTCCTTTTCCATAAAAATAAATGAATATTTTTAAGGTTCAAGTGAGACAATATATGTGGAAGTACTTTTAAACATTTTGAAATACTAACCAAAATTTGGGTATTTTTGGGATTGGGGATATAGCTCAGCGGCACAAGCGCCTGTCTGGCAAGTGCAACGTCCTGAGTTTGATTCCCAGTACCAAAAATAAATAAATAAATAAATAAAATAAACCCACCTAGTGTTTTTTAAAAAAACTTGGGTATTTTTTATAATCAGCAGATTATCTTGGGGTTTTCTCTCTTCTTTTTCTTTATTTATGGGCCAGTAAGTCCTGTATTTTCCTGAAAATTAAAACTTTCTATCAAGTCTGTGATCTAGTATCTTAGAAAGCCTTTTGAAAAACTCTACCTCGGATGAATTTCTCTTAACAGAAGAAACTGAGAACATGACCTGGACCCATACTTCTGCAATGCTCTGGTTTTCTTTTTTCTTTTTTCTCTTTTTGAAACAGGGTTTCACTATGCAATTCAGGCAGGCCTTGAACTCACTTTGTTAGCCTAGGCTGGCCTCAAAATCGCAGCATTCCTCCTGTCTCAGCCTCCTGAGTGCTGGAATTACAGGTGTGTGCCACCAACTGCTCTGGTTTTCTTAAGCTTTTTAAGTTACATTCCATATATAAAAGTTGAAAATTGATAGTACAAGTTGAAAATACATTAGAACTCTCAAAATTGAAAGCCAGCATCCACAATAATGCAGCCACAGCAAATAAGCATATAAAAATAGTGATTGGCACAGTAACAAGGCAAAAGAAGTGGTCCTGAAGGTGGAAATAAGCAATCTTGCAAAGTTAGCTTCATGCAAACCAGCAAGAAAGAACCAAAGCTCTACCACTTATAGCTGGAAAAATAAATACTTTAAAGAAAACAAAATGCAACATCTATTACACTAATAATGGAGTTTTCATAAAAGATACAAAATACCAATCCATTGTATAAAATGTATGAAACTTGCTATATTTGTACATAATTATATATCACTTTAAAATGTTATGAAAACAATGTATGTACTAATTAAAAGAACATATATATTTTTATGTATCAAAGATTTATGCAAAATTTCAAGAAAAACATTTTGCTTAATGATGTATTAACTTTAAACAAAAATCGGTCAGTATTTTCATAAAGTAAACTGAAGTTCTAAGCTTGAGAATATTTTCTACTTTCTAAATGTATTTTTGAAAGTAGTATAATTCTATATTAAAACAAATATATTTGTGACATTTTAAACCATAAATAAATTTACTAAAGCTACAAATATAAAAATGAACAAGTATATATAATTGAAAAAAGGATGGTACAATCACTTTTCTGCATATGTATCATTCAATTATTTTATACAATTTTATGAATTTGCATACTATTTTCCACAAAACAAAAAATTCATGATTAGAATATCACCACATTTTCCATATGTATTTTCTTTAATTATCAACTTCTGGCCTTAAATTCATGATCCTTCTGCTTGAGCCTTTAAATCAAAAAGTAAAAACCTACCTACCACTTACCACTTCAGAGATAAGAGAGTTCAAATTCTATCTTTAATTTCATTTTTTAAAGTTTTATGAATTCGTATGTTCTATGCTTTTTATGAGTACCATAATGAGTATGATAATGGCATTCTTGATTTTGCAGTTCACAGTATCAATTCCACAACATGACATACTAAGTTTATAATTTGGTATAAAAACATGTTTTGGCATATATTTAGCAGAATAAATGAGGTATATAAATCTCTAGGTAACTTTCCACAGTGTTTTAAAATTTACAGTTTTAAATCTCAGAAAACATAGAAATTATATATCTGGATAATTTGTATATTTGTACTAAATTTCTATATTTGTACTGTCTTTGTACTAAATCATGGATGTGACAAATCTCTGTAGGTCAGCTCGGACTCTCAAGCTGGGTCACCATGGTTTAAATCATAATTGTCACTTATCAGATATTTAACCATAGATATTAACAAGTCAAAGCTTTGATTTCTAACTTTTAAAACATGTTAATAATTGTATTTCCACCATAAATTTGTTCTGAGGATTAAATAAGACTATGTATGTAAATATATTATCATGTAAATTTCTATAATACAAATAATATTATATGCAAGGGTAAATGAGGCAAATTTGCCACTATACTACAGAAGTTACTTGGATTCAAGTGTAGTTCTAGATAACCTGTTAATTTTTTTGGTGGTCCCAGGCCTCACAAATACTTGGCATGTACTCTACCATTATGTATACCTTCAGCCCTGGTCTGTTAATTTTTGAGCCACTGACAGTAGCTTCATAAAAAGTAATGAAGCCAGCTAAATTATAAAGCCAAGGAAGACTGCAAAGGAATTAAAAAAAATAGTTATTTTCAAAATTTTGTTACTCAATAAATGATTATAAATAAACACACCAGTCAGTAACATCATATTTGTATCACTTCTTTACAGCCTTGAAGACAAGCAGGAACACATTACAGTTACCATTCAGCCACTGATGGCAATATGCTACAAGGATCTGAGGGAGTGTGCATGTCTTGCCTCTGACAGCCCAAGTGCAAGACTCATGTGAACAGAGAGACGTAAGAAATGTGTACTCGGTGTTTATATAATCACAGAAATAACTGTAATTATGCATTTAAAATTGGTTCAATTACATACTCATACGTATCCTAATTAGTAAGCAATAATTTTTTGAAATGTTCAATTTTTTTTAATCACCTTATAGTATACAGCAATGTACACAATGCCCATCTACTCCTGTACAGTTTCTTTTTTCTTAGTTTGGCCAGTTTGTCTTAGAACTTCATACTGCATAATTCTCTCTGGTTTCTGTTTATGTTGCATGTATTTCCTTAATTCACTAATATCAACCCTTCTTTCCACTGTTACTTTAAACTCATTCTTAAAAAATGGAGTCCTATATTTGCTGTAATATTTATTTTATTCATTAAGGACAACATATCTCTTAGTTCTTCTGGTGTTTTTATAGAATCATCTTGTTTTTACTAATGGTCTAGTAAGAAAGCGGCTTGGGTTTTAAGCGTAAGTTCCAAGAGTATTTCTTTCCACTAACTTGTATCATTTTCCATGTACAATATTAGAGAATGTGGGGCTTTTTAGGAATGGATATGTTGTACTCTCGATAATGTACATGTTGTGTTCTAACTAAATAATCATTTATTTCACATACCACTTGTTCTTAAATAACTCAAACAGTTGTTAAAAAGAACAATTAAAAAAAAAGTATTACCTCCACTTAGTTAGACTTGTCACATTCACGGGTTAGTATCCACCCAATCATCAAAAATAAAAAATAAAATCTGTATGTGTTTTGCTTGTTTTGAGATAGGGTCTCACTGCATATTCTAGACTGGCTCTGAACTCATTATGTAGTCCAGGCTGGCCTCAAACTCGCAGCAATCCTCTTGCCTCAGCCTCCCAAATGCTGGGATTACAAGCGTGTGTCACCATGTCCAGATCTACATGTATATTTTTTACTATTTCCAAAATTCATTTTCTCTGCTTGAGTTTAATTTTAACTCTAAATGTTTATTTTTAAAATATAATTTAAACAGAGAAATACTGATCAAGTCTTAAAGAATGATTGTTTCTAGAAATTTATTATCTCAAATTTTCAGCTCTAATAAGATAAATATGAATCCATCTCACATTACCGTCATTAAATATTGTATTTTTCATAATAATCACAATAATCAAGCCCCAAAATTTTCTACCTAAGGATATAGAAATAGTTATATTATCTAAGTCCTCATAATACATTTTAAAAGTTACAAAAATCAAACTCTATACAGACTAAGTATACTACAAGTTTGACCAGTGAATTGCTTATTTTTATTATAATGTGCCCTAGCATATGTAATTATAAGCTTTAGATATATTTTTTAGGGTTGCTGGGGATCAAACCCAGGCCTTCCTTACACATGCTTCCCAAGCATTCTATCACTGAGCTACATCCTCTGCTCTACATAATTTAAAAGAAAATGGGATATTTGGATAGCATTGTGGTTACTATTTCTACTTCTAATTTTTATAAGTAAAGGCTAAGTCTATCCTTTTAAAAAATACACCTAGCATATTTTAAAATTCTGTAGAGACCAAAGTTTCATACACTTATATCTACTGATAGAACTGGATATGTTTGTAGGGACAAATTTAAATTTTAATATACTATGATTATTGTATTACAATAGTTTAATATAGCTGTTCTGCTAGAAATAAATATCTGTAATTTTCATTTGCTGTTAATTAATTGATACCTCAAGTGTAAGAAAGATACTTACTGGCTGAAGCCTGAGATTGCATACGAGGTATTCCTCCATTTGGCACTTGAAAATTTGAATCACTTCTGCTGCTTTTCACTGAGTCAACTTGTGTATTAGATGTTCGAGACAGGTTTGGAAGACTGCGTCTTAGTTTTTCTACAATAACAGAATTTTAATTTAAAAAAAATCTAATCATTTTTTCAGGCAGAGAAAGAATGAAAATAGAATTCAAAAACAAAATTAAACATTCTAAATATTATAAAAGAAAAACAGGAAGTACTTATTAAAAAAAAATCAACCCAGAGTTAATAGGTAGAGTAAGAAAATCCTTAAAAGACAACTACAAACTATATATTAAATATAAGTAAAAGTTGCTACATGAGTAAATTAAAGCAAAAGTAACCTAAGCAAGTAAAATTAAATTCACTTACTCCTTTATTTTTGCATTGATAACCTATGAATAAAATGGTAAACTTGACTATTATCTGATATACAAAACCTTGGCAAAACTCTCTTCCTTTCACACTGAAATATGAAGGTTAATTTTTTCCAAAAATATTCTCACTGTAAAATTTCCTATGTTTTACCTTCATTTTTAACATTGCTTGTCTGTAAATCTGTGGGATGACCTTGAAGTGAAAGGCGAGGTTGCTGTAAGCGGCTAATCATAGGCTGTGGGGACACTCTACTATATTCTATTCCCCGAGCTGGCGATCGTGAACGAGGTGAATTTCTGGGTGACTGCTTAGGTGATGGTCGAGGTGAACTGCGTGGTGATGGTGAAAACCTGTTAACAGCAGGGTATACTGCGTGATGCATATTGTCATCTTCATCATCTAAACTTTGTGCATCAAGTTCCTGGTCACTAAATGTACCCCGCCTTGTAGAATTGCAAGACGAACCGGAACTGCGCCGAGATGTGGTAGCTGCATATTCTTGCCGAAGACCTGAAAACAATGAGTATGTTATTTTATTTCTCTATATTTTTAAATCTATAAATATTTTTAAAATTTAAAAGTAAAGTTTACCATTGAGAAATTCAAGTAGGGTATAACGTATAAAGGAAAACTTTACTTCTACTTTTAAATATTCTCTCACATAAGGATGCAGAAATCAGATTTGAAGGTTATTTTAAACCTGAACAAAAATCTATAAACTTTTATACAATTTCAAGATTTTGTGTAATTGAAATCAGATTTAAGACTAACATTAAAGGAACAGAATATATCAGGGAACAAATAAATTCCTTGGATACTTAATCTTTGGATTAAAACTGTAACAACAACAACGACAACACAATCTACATTTAGAGCAAGTCCTGCTAACTACTGACAATCTAGGAAGGATATTATAGTGATATTCAAGCCTTTAAGCCATATATTTATACATAGAAAGTGTTATTACCAAGGTTCCACAAACCAGACTAGAATCACCCTTGGGTCTCTTTAAAACTATCAATTCCTGGGGGATATAGCTCACTGGTAGAGTACATGCCTGGCATGCATGAGGGCTTGGGTTCAATCCCAGCCCTGTAAAAAAAAAAACAAAATAAAATAATCACTAATAATTCTTGAGTCCACTTAGCACTTCATTCAGGTTTAGGAATCACAGTAGTAACTGAGAGTTACTTAGTATCTAGTTCTAGCAAATATTCCACTCATGTCATCTAATAAAAGACAACAGGCCTGTAAAACAGCACTGCTTCAGAAAAGAAATCCAGATTCCAATGTAGCCTCTTTGCAAACAAGGAGATCCTAATAAGCAAATTATAATCCCTAGTGGAGCTTTGCATTTATTTTAAAAATGAGGCAACTTAAGCAGGTAAGAGCCTAAGTATGTAATTCTATATTTGTAATTGTTGCAAAAATCCTGGAAGAATTATGCTATAAAAAAGAAAATCATCTCTGAAAAAAGGAGAGGTGTATGTCATTTTCAAGGAAGAATCCCATACATTTTTGGCACCATCTCTCTTTAATTCACCAAGAAATAAATATTCATGCAATTGGATGGCTTAGGAAGGATTATAAACTACAGGCTAAATTTTTTTTTTTTGTCTTTTTGAGACAGCGTCTCACTATGCAGTTCAGGCTTGTCTTGAACTCACTTTGTAGCCCAGGCTGACCTCGAACTCACAATGATCCTCCTGCCTCAGCCTCCCGAGTGCCAGGATTACAGGCATGCGCTACCACGCCCAGCTAAAATTTCTATGATTTACCAAAACACAAGATGAAAGTTAAATAGTTTAACAAAATCCTGACATCTAAAAAATTAAGAGTTGAAAGAAAAAATGAGTAAATTTATTCTACCACAAAGACCTAAACAACATTTTTTATGCCCTCCCTTTCATATCCATGAATAACTGACCAGTTGGAAACATCACAGAATATTAAATCAGTGAAGTTCCATAGAATTACAGAAGAGAGACCACATCAACAATTTTCAGGTGTAACAAGAAATTACAAAAGCATTAAGTCCTATCCGTACAGGGGAAGCTACCTTTAAATAGGAAATGAATTAGCAGAGTAAGAAACATGCTGCAGTGTCTTAAATGTTGCAGCATGATAAAGCTTACTAAAGAAAGAAAGAATCTATTATGCACACAGAGAATGGGAACTTTTGAACCCAATTTTAGTGATGTTCCATTACTCTCAGCCAACTGTCAAGACTAAAATGTGTATTTCAAGAATTTTTCACTGAAAAGGTTAAAGGATCACTTTTAAAACATTTTTTTTTCACAGTATAGTGTATGGCATCTTATAAAATGCATAGACAAAAAAACCACCACCACCATCTCACATTCAAATGAAGGCCAGGGTATTCATGAACCCCCCAAAAAGTATGAAAAATTTTGTGCCTATGTATATTTTTTAGGGATCACAGAAGCAATCATTTTTATTGGATTCTCTGAGATAAATGGTGCTAAAAAGTTTCCAGAACCATGCTGCAAAGCATCATCACACACTTTATTTAATGTCACAATTCTAATCTTCTCATAAGAGTCTGTTTTTGTATTTGTATATTTGCAAGAGAAGTGAGATTTTTCACCAAGAAGACAAAACTGGGTTTTAAAGTATGAAAAAACTCTTAAGATATTAATTCATAATATTTAAAGAGTTTAACTGTGATATTAAAATTTCATGGTGGAAGGCTAGATGAAGAAGTAGAAAAACTCTTTAGGAAAGCAGTAACAAAAAGGTTAACTAACATGATTTACACTAAAGACAGAGTAACAACTACACTAGTGAGTGCTAATATAAAGTGACACACAGAGTCCAGATACACCCACAGAAGCTAAGAATAATGTCTTCTTTGTCTCTCATGAGGCAAAACAGTCCTATGTGAAATGGACTCTGAAAACAGGTAAATGAACAAACAAGAACATTTCAATATGCCTCTGAATTGCTCATTTCAACATTTCTCCTTTCACACATTACTACTCCTACAATACTTGAAGATATATTCAATACATATACCAAATATACACAGTAGTGAAAATTTTCAACCTTTACTAACTGAAAAACTTACTTTCTTCTTGCATCCGGGCTAGAATCTGCACATCAGTTACATCATTTAGCTTATAATTGGATCCAATTGAATCTTCATCTAATTCTGAAGCACTTAACTCGCTATCTATAGAGGATTGAGGACTGAGTGGAGGATTTCTGTCTGATGAACTTTTAAAGTTACCTAAAAAAAGAAAAAATTCAAACTTTAGTAAGATCAAAGTTAAATAAACATCTCTTACAACTGACTACATAATTGATTCAGTTCATCAGAATTCTGCCATTATGTTTATAAAATTCCCGAACACTGAAATTGGGAATTGACCTCATAAAGGAAAAAGAGGGTTCCAGGAACTTCTTTATATGCAACATAAACACAGAACACCTTTTCATTTAACTGTAATTTACCTAGGCTATTAATCAAACTTTTAACATAGTACCTAGAGAATAGTCAGTACTCAAATATGTGTTAGAGGATTTCAACTTTTAGAAGATAGTCTATGAAACTATGAATCTAAGTAGATGAATTTTTGGCGGGGATACCAGGAATCGAACTCAGAACCTTGTGCTTGCCAGGCAGGCACTGTGCCTCTGAGCTATCTCCCCAGCTCAAGGTAGATGAATCTATGTAGTATTTTCTCCTCCCAAATTTAGTCATTAGCAAGCACCATCATCTTTCCCTGAATAAAAATATTTACTTTTCCTAAACAACAAAACTAATATGAGAAAAATTAGATCCCTTAGACACTGAAGAACAAATAAACAAAACAAAATAACTTGGCTAATTTTTCTACATGTTACACTTACAAAATTCTTTTGCCAGATTAGTAATGGAGACCAAGGAGTTCTGGCTTTTAATAGTGAAGTACAAGAGATAGGTAAGCTAGGTGTGGTGCAGCACGCCTGAGATTCCAGTTACTCTGGAGGCTGAGCCAGGAGGATCACAAATTCAAAGGCTAGCCTGGGAAATTTAACAAGACCCTGTCTCAAAATAAATTTTATTTAAAAAGGTTGATAGTGTAGCTCAGTGGTACAGTGCTTGCTTAGTACACAAAAAAATTAAAATGACTAGATTTTAAAAAGTACTTTATCTTTTTAAACAAAGGCACAAACAAAACAGGTCAGAAGAATAAAGAACACATATGTGTAAAAGTGTCTTAACTTGTTTCTAAAGAATAATCATAAAATCCCAACACTGCCACTAATATTTCTAACATAGATTTATCTGAAACATTTATTTCCCAGAATTTTAGGCAGGTAAGGAGAGCAAGAAGAACACAGAATAATTAACAGTTATACTATCAGTGAAAGAAGAGCACATGATAGGAAAGGCACTGAAAAGTTATGCTCATGGAGTACCTGAATCAAATTCATTTTAAGTAAGTATTATACAGTAAACTTTTTAATATGATACTGTTATAGATAAAATACGTAGTAAATAAAAACCTATATACTAACAATGAGCAAGGTCAATAAAGCTATTAAACCAAGGAACCTTAGGGAACACACAAGATTGCGGGGAGGGGAGGGTACCGGGAATCGAACTCAGGACCTTGTGCCTGCTGTTCAGGCACAGTCACTGAACTATGTAACCAGGCCTCAGGCTTTTGACTTAGGTTAAAAAAAAAAAAAAAGTCCAAGTATTTAACACCACCTTAACTTTTAAAGAAGCTGTATAAATAAATCATAACAATAGTAGCAATATAAGTAACTGAGTGGGTGAGTCATGAAGAACAGTCATCTACTTAGGACATGTCAGTCACAGAAACAGAGCAGAACATACTTTACTCAGTTTGGGGCAATCACATCACTTAAAGTACCCATATCTCTTTTGGCACATTAACATATAACCTTATACTATTTCTTAACTGTAATATCAAAGTTTGTTAAAACCCTTTTTAAAAGTTTTTAGCAATGTAGCTTTTACAACTTTTGCGGCATAGAGTTGAAAGGATTACTGCACACTCTTCAATAAGGATCCATTGATTAAGGATCAAGGTTGTGATACCATTTCATTAAATAGGATTGAAAAGGCTCAAAGTACTAAAGAAAACCTTACAGATATAACCCACTAACGTATCTTTAAATTCTTTGTGCCTACTATACCACCTGGTGCAATGTGGCTCCTTGATTATCTATCCCAGTTGTGGGGACCTACGGCACACATGCTGCAGCAGGTTGTCTGTACCACTGAAAGCTCTAAAAGGCTTGCCATCCCTGCTCTATCCAGTTAAAAGTTTCATAAATAAAGTAAACCTGAATTACTAGTAAGTTATTTTTTGAAGTAGGGAAGTAAATTAAACACCATTTCTTAGTAATTCCATTTTGTTTTCTCCTTACCTGAATTTCCAGGAAGTATAAGCTGTTTGACTACAGGAGGTCGCACTGGGGTTGAAGATGGAGAATTGAAGCCACTGCTATATGGGCTACTGGCATTTGGACTGTAAGGACTTGTGTAACTCATAGAGTTGAAAGGATTACTGTACAAATTCTGCCTCTTGAGAGCTACATTAATCAGAAGGAGAAAAATCAAATTTAATAACTGAAGAAAAGTTAACATTTTATCTCAAAAGTTTTCCTATTAAAATTTCATTAAGCTAGGGATGTAGCTCAGCAGCACAATGCCTGCCTGGCAAGAGTGAGGTACTGAGTTTGATTCCTGGTACCCACCAAAAAATAAAAAATAAAAATGAAAAGCACTTTAAAATTTCATTAAGTCATTATCTCAGTTTAAAGAAATATTTTACACTACTAAGGAAAACATATATTAATAATCCCAACAAAGTGATTTTCATTACCTTAAACTGTGTTAAACTGTGTTATGCAAATAAACCAGCAGTCACACCAAAAAAAAAAAAATAACACTAACATATGAAGAATATTCCCAACAGAATGTTTGCCACTAAATTAACTCACTTTCACCTTGTTGGAAAATATATTCTTTAATAACTATTCTATCAATTGTGATTGAACTTTAAAAATAAATCAAACATAAAAATATCTTCTATAAATAAGTTAGAAATGATAAGTTTTTAAAAGCCTTTCCAAAATTTGGATTTTTGAAAAAATTAAGTAATGGTAACTTTTTAACAATTCCCTTTTTAAAAAGAACCCCCACAACTTCCATTTTTTAAAAAAGTGCTATGCATATCAAATTACATAAAAAGTACAATAGTAGAGCTAGGTAACAAATGAAATTATACACTAATATCCACAGCTTATTAAATATTTACAAGCATAGGTAAAAGCACTGCATAGGAACTTTTAAATTTTTCTCTTTTTTTTTTTGAGACAAGGTTTCTCTATGCAGTTTACGCTGGCCTTGACCTCACTTTGTAGCTCACGCTGGCCTCGAACTCACAGCAATCCTCCTGCCTCAGCCTCCAGAGTCCTGGGATTATAGGTATGTGCCAAAAATTACTATATAAAATATAGACAAACATGACATGAACTTAAGAGGACTGCAGCCAAGTACTATCATAAAGGTGCAAAGGGTTATAGAAAGCATTCATTACAACTGACAAACTGGGTAAGGATACTAGGAGGGACAGAACTGGCATAGCCTTAAGAAGATGAACAGTAATTTAATAGGGCCCCTAAAACTAAGGAAAGTACATACTGCTCTCATTTCTGTTTATAATATAAACAAAAGCAGTGTCTTGAAAATGCAGAGCCTGCTTGGGAGTAAGAGTGAGTAATCTAGTGTGGTAAAGCACAGGGAAGGGACAACACAGGAAAAACCAGCCCAGACAAGGTCACTAAAGGCCTAAAACACTATGTTTAGAAGTCCAATACCTATTTAGTCACAATGATGCAGCTAAGCAGTGACTTTTGAGGAAGAGTAATGTGATCCAATTAGTTTAGGGGTAAAAATGTGAACACACTATACTCGGAAGTATACAGTGACTAGAAAATCAGAAGAGAAAAAAAGAAAAAAGAACAAATGCTTAAAACTGGAAAAAGTAAAGAAATAAAATCAGATGATTAAAATTTCTGGTTTGCCTACTAGCAAAGTAGTGGTTTAGGAGGAAGGAACACATGTTTTCTACTTAGTGGATCACTTGGTTGTATACATATTCTCCATGAGAGATGACACCAGGTGTTATATTTAGTATACAGCAGGCAGCATGATTACAGGTATAAGCTGAGCAGGCTGTCATATATCACTTTATTCTCAATCTCCACTGAAGCTTATTATCTTATACTTGGTTATCAATCCCTAATATTTCAAGTCCTTGGCCCTTTCATCTTCTTACTCTATGTCATACTGTTTGCGCAAATTCTCAAACATATACATGATATCACTTACCGTTAATATGCCAAAGACTCCCTGTTATTTCCATTTCTAGTCCTAAGTTTTCCTCCGAACTTCTGTCCCATGTATACTACCTCCCTGTGGGTATGACAAATGTATCCCAGAATTCACATACCAAATTCAACTTATGATCTTTCCGCTAAAATTCAATTCTGTTCTAGTGGTTTCCTCTTAGAATAACAACATTCATCTCTGTCTCACAAAATTGGAAACTCAGAAACTCAGAAGTTAATACTTTCTTCTTCATTTCTTTGGATCTGATTCCTCTGTTTTTATTACTGTATCTTTTCATCTCATCAAGTACCTTTCCCTCTGTGATACTACATATTTTTTGGTTTCCATGCATTATTCCTGGCTTGTAACTTTGTGTCCAACATAGGCCAGAGAAATCAGAATTTTTCTTCCTTAAGGCAGGTCACAGAAACTCTAATCTTCCCCTGCCTTTCTACAGACATTACATCATACTTTTTTGCCCAATCACACTTGAGTATGCTTGTCCATGCTTCAATCATGCCAATGCAATGAAGTCTCCATAAAAATACCAAAGAGGAAGTTCAGAAAGTTTCCAAAGAGCTGAACATGTGGAGGGTCCCAGAGGGTATTAGGCCTGCAGAGTATGGGAAGGGGCTATAAGCTCCCCCTATGCATCTCTTCATCTATATCTTTTCAGTATCTTTCACCATAAACTGGTAAGCCTAAAGATTTCCCTGAGTTCCATGACCTACTCTAGCAAATTACCTGAAACCAAGGAGTCTTCGGAACCTGATTACAGCTGATCAGTTAGAAACTCAGAGAATGACCTGGGACTTGAGATGGGTACCTGAGGACTGGGGACTGGGGCAAATGAAATCCATGGGATTTGATGCTGTTTCTAGTAGATAATGTCAAATTAAACTGAACTGAATTGAATCAGAGGAAGCCCAGCTGAGGCCTGCTGTAGACCTGACTGCTGCTAGCTGATGGAGAGAGATTCCCATCTATTGAGACTGTGGTGGCATGACAGTAGAGGAAACTCATTTGTTTTTTCCTAACACACACAGCCTGGCTATCACGATCAACTCCCCTGCAAATCATCCTACATCTCGACCTCTCCAACTGCGCTCCATACAACTACCATGCTACCATGAACTTTCCAAAATACAAATCCAATCATGCCTTCCCACTATCATACCATACTCTTACACAATACACTCTTCTTCTCCTTCTCCTTCCTTCTTCCTCCTCTCACCTCCCTCTTCCCTCCCTCCCTCTCCTTCTCCTTCTTTTTTGGAGACAGGATCTCACGATATAGTCCAGGCTGGCCTCGAACTTAGGCGATCCTCCTACCTCAGCCACCTGAGTGCTAGGATTACAGGCATGCACCACCACACCAGGCACTCCAGCATAACACTTTCATATTTTCTCTACACTCTTATAATGAAGTCCAAAATATTTAATAAAGCATGCCTGTATAAGAATCTTGCACCTACAAATCTTTCTGACCCTATGTCACAACTCTCTCTTCTTTTCTTCAGCCACTCCAGTTTGTTCCAGGTCCTCACACATACTATGTTCTCTTCCACAGACAGCCTTGGCACATGCTGTTCTCTATACCTCAAATGCTCAACTTCTACTTCCTCCTTCTACCTTAAGGTTATCTGAATCTTTAGGGATCAGGTCAATCCCCACTTCCAAAGGGAAAATTCCTATTACTCAGAGCTCAAAGCACACTATATACCATTCTTTCATTACATATCATGAATTATAAAGACTGCCAGGCATGGTGATGCACAGCTCTAATCCCAGCACTTAGGAGGCTGAGGCAGGAGAACTGCTGCAAGTTTGGGGCAGCCTGGTAGTGATTTCAAGACAAGCCTGAACTGCATACTGAGACTCTGTCTCACAACAACAACAACAAAAAAAAATTATAGATTATTTTTTAGTTTCTCCAGCTAGATAATACACTTCAGTACTACAGGTATAGTGTTGTGTTTGTTTTTCTTCATCATGTATCCCCCATCCTTCTCTCAAAGCCTGATACATAACAGGCTCTCAATAAAAATTAATTGAATATATGAATTACTATATGAGATTAATTTGAATATAGATGATTCTGGGCACCACAGAAGTAGATTAAGTGAGACAGAGGTATGAAGCGAAAGATGGGTACAGCCTAAATGGACAAGACTGTTAGAAGGTTGACAGGGGAGTGGGAAATTATTATTTAACACGAGTATAAAATTTCAGTATATATAGGATAAAAGCTCTGTCCAGATAAACAACAGTGACAGCAGCCTAGCAATGCAAATGCACTACTGCCACTCAACTGTACATTTAAAAATGGTGAAAACAAAAAATACTTCATAAATTTTATTACAAAAAAAAAAAAAAAAAAAGGTGGGGAACAGGGTTACAGCTCACTAGAAAGCACTTAACCAGGGTTCCACATTCAGCAACCAAATAACAAAAAAGCAAGAAAGATGGGAAGAATTAGAAGTACATTCAAGGAGGAGAGAAAATTGCAGATTGGATAAGAGAGGATAAAAAAGATAATGCACTGTAATAAAAACATGAAAAGTTTAGGAATAAGTGTACTACAGAGAAGGTAAGTATGGCAGGGTATAATTGTTCTAGGACACAACACCTAAGTTCCCAAGCAGCTTTACCTTATCAAAAATATACTTAAAAGGTGGTACCCTTGGAAAAAGACTGCTTTAGGTCTACAAGTTCAAACATTCAACAGCCAAGTTATTTTCTCCCATAAAATTTTTAAATGTATGTATTTATGGGTGTAATGGTTGTTCTCTGCATATATCTATACAATTTAAGCATTGTTAAACAGATCTAGTACTTGATTACACCTAGTTTTGGTTCACTTATACTCCTAAGATCTTTAATACTCTTGTCATAATAAAGCAAAAAAAAACTTGCTTTTTTGAAGTATAACAGCTTTACTTTTTCCCTCAAGAACAGGTTACTAACTGTTAATAATTACTATTCTTTAGGCTGTTTCAAATCAGGGGTTGGTGAATGGTAGCCTGCAGGCCAAATCCAAGTTACCAACTGTTAATGTAAATAAAATTTTACTTACAGCCATGCCCATTTATTTATGTACTCTTTATGGCCACTGGCCCACAAAATTTAAACTGGCTATTTTCAAAGAAGTTTGCCAACCTCTGTTTTCTGTTTTAATTATTTATTACCTGACTCCTCTGATCAGACTAGAAGTTCAGAAAGGAAGAGATTTTTAGTCTAGTATATTCTCAAAACTGAGAACCTCGGAAGTTCTTAACAGTCACAGTTTGGTGATGGTAAGTGCTAGTTAAATTGTAAATTATATTATTTCCAAGGCAAGATACTCAAAGTACTGGAAAACTATTCCCAGAAATATTAATTTTTTGAAAATTATATAACGTGTTGCTGTTTTTAAAAGGCCTTCTTTACAGAAAGAAAATGTATAACTTCAGTATTAAAACAGATTCATTCAAAATAACTTACATACAAAAGCAGACCTGGCTTTCTATTTAAATTCTAACTAAAGAGCACAAACTTTTTACAATAAAGCTAAAATAAGCAATTTAAAGTATATGGCTGCTAAGTAAATACAAAATGAAAGAACAGAGAAAGAAAAACAAAAGTTTTCAAGATTACTAAACCTATCAACTTTTTTATAATTAAAGCATTTTAATTAAAATTTTTTTATTAGTACGTGTTTGCAGTACATGACCATCTTTTTTTTGTTTGTTTGTTTGTTTGTTTTCCAGTACCAGGAATCTAACTCACAACCTTGCGCTTGCCAGACAGGCGCTGTGCCGCTGAGCTAAATCCCCAGCCCCCATGATCCTCTTTATCATGGGGAGTTGGTTTATGTACATAATACAACTTAATTCTTTTTTTTCTCATACCCCTCCCTGGTCCCTCCAACTGCTGGTCCCCTTCCCATTTGCAAAAGTTCTATTTGCATCATTTTTCCCCCTATTTTTTCCACCTTTTTCTCCCCTCCCATCCTTCCATCACTTGACCTTCATCCATATGAAAAAGATCTCCCTGCTTCTTATGTATCTATCTTCTATTTTGCTCTCTAAATTTTTTTTTCAGTTGCTTATATAGAGAAACTATGATATTTAAGCTTGTGTTTCTGACTTATTTTACTTAATACTGTATTATGGTCCCAAGTTGCAACCATTTTCCTACAAATGCTTCTAGTTTATCTTTTTAATGGCACAGTAGTACTCTACTGTGTATAAATACCACACGTCCTTTATTCTTTCATCTGTTAGAAGATTTAGCCATTACAAATTGTGCTGCTATAAACAAGGGTATGCGGGTATCCCTGTAATATGATGATTAATTATTTTGAGAAGATACCTAGAAGGGGAAATAGCTGGGTCAAGTGGTATTTCTATTTTTAGTATCTGGAGGAATCTCCACACTGTTCATGTATCAACTGTTTACTACCTGAGTATTTCAGAAAACAGCAACATCTTTAAAAAGCAATTCTTAGCCAGGCCTGGTGGAGTACACCTGTAATCCCAGCACTTGGGAAGCTGAGGCAGGAGGATTACTGTGAATTTAAGGCTAACCTGGTTTATATAATCCAGTTCAAGGCCAGTCTGCACTATGTAGCAAGACAGTGGTAGAAGCACCTGCCTGGCAAGTGCAAGGTCTTGAGTTCAATTCCTGGTACCACAACAAAATAAATAAACAAATAGAAAAAAAATCACATAAAACTCATAATTTCATGGGTATTATCCTTTAGGATGAGACTTTAAAAATTAGATTTTTTTTAAAAATCTATTAAGCAAATGATAGAAGAGCCCTCATGAGGCTATGCATAATGAAATTTGAAAAATGCTATCAAGCAAGGAATTGTCTTCCTAAGAATTTATCACTCAATATTTAAGTTTTTGTTTTGTTTTGACTAATGAAAGCAAAGAGATAAATTTGCAAGTGGAAGTATAGACATACCTGACATAGTTTGATCAAGTTTGTGGATAAGAGATTTTTTAGCACATTCAACATCAGGACTTGGGTAATCCAAAACTTGCCTGCACCAAACTAATGGACTAACCGATTTCTGCATTGGTGTAAGTTTTTTCTTTGGTGATGAATACAGCCTAGAAGAAAACAAAAACGTAATATTCATCATTAAGCACATAGTTATAAAGCAGGGATCCTTATGTATAAATTTAAAATGGGGGGAGATTGAAAGTGATGGAGCATGTTTAAACTTACACGAATTTACTTAGTGTACAAGAAGAAAATGACACTATTACAATCAATATAAACCGAAATTTCAAGCACTAAATGAACGCAAATGAGGTGTTCTGAAAATGTGTCTTATTTTTCTTTAATTACTAGAAGTTTGAGGTATCTGTCTTTACAACAGTTTACAGTACTGTTTTCAACAGAACTTGAGTAGCTCCCTAATATAGCCCCCCCATAATGTCCAGCCTCGGAGGAAGAAGAACAGGCTAAATACTTTGCTCTCTACCTCTTAATTTGCCTTCCCATCACAAACACACAAGAATCTGCCATGAACAGTATTTATACTCCACAACATATTCAAACAGTTACACGCCTGAGAAAATACTTTAAATCCTCAGTAACAATGTCAATCAATTCATGAAATTTTTCATTTTTAGAAATAAAGGGAGTGTATTTTATAAGCTCCTGGAGAAAGTATACTGAAGGAAAAAAGTGAGCAGAAGATAGGGAGATGTGTACTTACGTGTTCTACTTCACAGTTCCTCAGAATAGTCCAGGTTATGTCAACTGCTAGTACTTATTTCAAATGTGACTCCACATGAATAATACAAAGAATTACTTGATTTATAATCGGGGGTTTTCAAATTATGTTAAATTGAATTTATAAAATAAAATTATGCTTTGATATTTTCTGTAGCTAGATGTCTTAATAAGGCAGAAGCTGATAATATCCCATTGTACTCTAATCAAGTTAGGGTAATAATGTGAAGTGCTGTTCTGGAGTACATGTTTATTTATTTTTTATTTTTTGGTTTTTCTCCGATACCGGGAACCGAACTCACGACCTTGCACTTGCCAGGCAGGCGCTTTTGCCGCTGAGCTAAATCCCCAGCCCCTACATGTTTAAATAAATATATTTCCTACAGTCTAAGAACAGATAAACTTTTCAGTGGCAATATGCACATTTTCTGTCCCTTTTCCTCTTTCCTATTTTACTACTTAAAGTTTATCATTCACATTAGCTTTCATCAAAATAATCAAGACTAATGGGGTAAAGGACCATCTGTCTAATTCACAGTTCACATTCACTTACACAAAAATATTGAAATAGAATCTCATTTTACTAAGTAACATTAACAATTCAAAGCAAGGGGCTGGGGATTTAGCTCACTGGCACAGCGCCTGCCTGGCAAGCGCACGGTCGTGAGTTCGATTCCCGGTACCAGAAAAAACAAAAACAAAAAAAAGAACCAAACAATTCAAAGTGAAACCAATGGGGTTCATTCTTTTTCCAACCTAAATACTGCAAATGTGCCCATAACAAATCTCTATCTCAGTTTTAAAAATTAAACTTTAAAAGTTATGGGAATTATCATATACTGACACTATGTTGGCAAATTTGAGTAAAATTAAACCTCTAAAGGAATAATAAACATTAATAAAAACACTTTGGTCAAAAAATATTTGGTTGAGGTTTCAAACTACTTCTAAACCTATCAGAGGATGCATGAGTTGGGTTGTATCACGCAACTTGATCCAACTCTTGTTCTTTTTGATCTCTTTTGGTTTTTAGAGAGACCCAGTTAACATCTCTGAATTTTGAAAGAAAATTTTAAATAAAAATACTTACAATTACTATATATATCATCTCCTTTATTTCTTAGAAACACATAAACTTCTTCAAAATAACTATTTTGCCTACTAAAAACATTCTTTCACCAATACTTTTGCATTTCTTAAATCATAGTATATAGTTTAATCAAGTGAAAAACTTTAGCTGGGCATGGTGGTGCACACTTGTAATCGCAGCACTAGGTAGGCTGAGGCAGGAGGAGTGCCATGAGTTCGAGGCCCACCTGGGCTATGTACGTGAGTTCAAGTCCAGCCTGAGCTACATAGCAAGATCCTGTCTCAAAAAAAAAAAAAAACCACTTCTGATGGACATAAACAATTCATGATGCCAGGGATATAGCTCAGTGGCACAAGCGCCTGCCTGACAAGCACAAGGTCCTGAGTTCAATCCTTGGTACTGAGAAAAAAAAAAAAAAAAAAATTCATGATGACTGATTCAACATAAGAGAGGTTAAGACTTCTCCAATTTTCACTTTCCTAAATCTTGAGATTGTATCACATTATCCTATTACTACTAAAATTGAGTTGGGATGATTGGATCATGGATTAATATACTCATTAATGGATTAATCTACCGATATTCATAACTGAATGTGCATCAGGAGGCAAGGGTAGGATTGGAAGAGATGGGTCACCAGGGGTATTGCCTTCAAAGAGCATATCTCTTGCTGTATTGTTCCCCTAGGTTTTCCTTCCCAAATACGTACTGTGAAGTGATATTTCACTTTGGAGCCAGCACACCACAGTCTCAAACCTCTGAAATCGAGAGCCAAATAAACCTTTCCTTTTTTAAATTGGGTCAGGTATTTTGTCCCGGCAATGGGAAAGCAGATAAATACATATGGGGAATTGGTATATAATGCAAGGATGGACACAATAAACAGGCTGAGACAATTTGTCACCTCCAAAGGCAGGTTGATGTAAAATTTCATTTGCACCTCACAAGAAAAAGTAGAGTAAAACTGAGTCACAGAGGTCCAGTGGGGAAATGAGGCTCTACCCTAAGAAAGAAGGCATTTGGAACTAAGGTTTATTGTCTCCCCATCCCTGTCCCATCAGGGATTTTGTGGGGCCTAGTGGGGAGCTGATCATTTACTCTATCAGTGTGTATAGAAGGGGTGTGAACCAGTGCTCCACTTTCGCTGAGATAGTAGTTGCAGGTCCCGGTAGGATGTTGAACATTTATCCCAATCTAGAGCCACATAATGCTACAGCAAACAGAAACACTAAAATGACACCCAGGATTTGGATGCAGATTTATTTAACACTCAACAGGCAGTGACTAGGAATTAATTATTCCTCAAAAAGTCAGGTCCTCATCTCTGGAAGTACAAAGGCAAGAGTATTTGGCTGTCTTTGACTGGTTCTTACAATATGCATCATAGTAACCAGCTATGTATCACACTGACCAGCCATTTCTAGGAGACAGAAACAACTGAAACTGCAACAGGAACTATTACCTGGGAAACTAAGAAACTGAAGTATACTGGCTGGGGGGTGGCATTTTCTGCTAACATTACACCTAAATAGGGTGGTCACTTGCTGAAAACAATAAATACCATGCCTAGTGTCATAACTTAACACCCAAAATGTCCAGAACATAATTAGAAGTCACTCATTATACTAAGAACACAGTTAAAACAAGGGCAAAGAACAGAAACAACTGAGTCAAACAAACACTAAGGCAAGAGGAGAATGAGTTTGAGGTCAGCCAAAAGTACACAGACAGTTCAAGGTTGGCCCAAGCTATATTGTGAGATCCTGCCTCAAAAAACCACACACACATCTGCACACACACACACACACACACACACACACACAAAGCAAAATGACAGACATAAAACCAGCCATATCAGTAAGTATGTTAAATATGCAGGGACTACATACACTTCTCAAAAGACAAACTAATATTTTTCATACAAAAGAATCACCTTAGATTCAAAGGAATGAATAGTTACAAAAGTAAAAGGATGGGGAAAAGTACATCATGCAAATAACGTAAGAGAGGTGGAGTAGCTATATTATTACATAAAATAGATTAAAGGTATCACTGGTGACATTTTAATACATCAAGAAGATACAGCAATTATAAATGTAAACATGCAGTTTACACACATCTAGTGGTAGAAATGAAAAGAAAAATAGACAATGGAGAAATTTTATTTGAAAATTTCAGTAGGCCATTCTCAACTGAAAAAGGAACTATAAGAAGGCTATAGAATACTGAACATTATCATGAAAGAAATCTGACACAGTTTTAGCAGAGAAGTATTAACAGAGTCAGGTTTGTAGTTTGGAGAAATGTGTAGAATAAATTGGAAAGGAACAAAACCAGAGATTTTCAAATTTAAGGAAAGATTTTTCTTTTTCAAAATTGTTTTGACCATTTCTTTCTCCTTGGCATTTTCATATAAATTTTTGAATCAGCTTGTCAGTTTTCTTTAAAAATGCCTGGGTAAGTTTTCTACAGATTGTGTTGATCAGTTAGGTAGAATAAACATCTTGACAATATTATTGTAAATTCATATCTATTATGTATCTGTCCATTAGTTATCTTTTGTGTATGGAGAGAGAAGGCATTGGAGATGGAACCCAGAGGACTTAAATGTTGGTTCCTCCCGTAGTGCTAGGACCACACGTGTGTCCTGCCACACCCCACTGTTCAGGTCTTCTTTAATTTCGCTTAGTAGTGTTTTATAGTTTGCAATATGTGAATTTCACACATCGTTAAGTTTTTAAGTATTTTATTCTCTTGCATGCTATTGTAAATAAAATTGTATATTCAGAGTATTCATTGATCATATATAGAAATATTGTTGAGTTTTTGCTTATTTTATATCTTGTGACCATGCTAAACACATTTTTTACACTTGATAATTTTGGTTTTTGGATGATTCCTACATAGGATTTTTTAGAGTGAGGATTATGTGTGTGAGTAAACCAAGTTTTGCTTCTTACTTTTTTGATGTGGATGTCTTTATTTTTCTTGCCTTACACACAGGCTGGACACTTGCGCACAGCATTTAATAGAAGTAATAAATGTGTACAACTTTACCTTGTTCCCAGTCTTGGGAGAAAGTATTTAATCTTTCATTCAGCTCATTTCTACTTTCTTCTGGGTCTCAGCTAAAATCACAATTCTCCAGGAAAACCTTTCTTGAGTAGTTCCCTAAAACTAGACTAGGTTCTCCCATTAATAAAACATTACTGAAGCAAGATGTTTTTAAAAATTTCTTTGTTGCTTTTAGACATGCTCTATCAGAAAGGAAATTCTACT